ATGAATAGGTTTTTGAACAGAAGTAGATATTCATCTCAACAAATTTGAAATAAAAACTGAAGTAGCAGTTATGTGCTTAGGTTTTCTACTTAGTAATCCCCCCAATAATGTGCTTTGCTATTTTCATATGTTCTATAGTTATTACATTGTCAGACTCCAGGGATCTCAAGAAAAATATTAAGTTTTCTGAGCCTCAGTTTCTTCACCTACAAAATGGAAAGAGTATCTTCTTTCATAGGTACCAATTTTTAATACTTGAAAAAAGTAAAATCATAGATGTTTTGCAAAAAGTGCCTCTAAATCACCATTCACGATACAAGCATGCATTAGTTCTGTTACTCTGGGCATCTTAATGTGATCAAAGTAATTAACGGCAACGTTATCTCTGAGGAGACTGATCGTGTCCTGTGTTTCCGACAGCAGTTTCTAGCTGCAGAATGGCATGCTGCGTTGTATTATGCTGTCTTATCGGTACTGAAGATGGGCTGCTTGTGCCTGTGCTATCAATACTGTTTAGTATTCCTGGAAAGAAACACTGAAGACCAAACTCTGATGGAGACTTTACAACCTGATGAATTTATCAGGAGAGTTAAACTTCCGTATAATATCAGAGAAGCCTAATCTAACTGATGGTGTCAAATACTTTTGTAATCATTAATGGACAAATTATATAGGCAGAACTACAGTTTGTCACTTGCATAACAAGCAGCTGTATCTCAGAGCAGTAATTTCATCCCACACATGTGTGGATGATGTTATCATGAGACAGACACCCAATAGCACCCTCATCACGATCTTCTTGGCAAGTGGGAAATTGCCTTTAATTCGTTAGGATGAATTACTGATTATAATCTAATGTTCACAGACAGACATGCAGCATGATGTAATTATGTCAAACATTTCTTTTTTGCATAGAAACCTGTATGCAATTTTATGAAATTATAGTCTTTAGAAAACTTAAGGGCCAGGGATATAGCTCAGTGGCACAAGTGCCTGCTTAGCAAGTGCAGGGTCCTGAGTTCGATTCCCGGTACCAAAACAAAACAAAACAAAACAAAAACAAAAACAAAAAAACCTTAAAAGATTTAATATAATGATTTACCAGTCTCATCATGAGAAAGGAGTAAAAATACAAAATTCAGGTAGACATGTAGCTCCGCCATGTTAAGAAAAGGTTGATTTATCTTTCAATCTCACAAAAAAAAGCAATGACATGATTATTATGTAATTTCATTATGTAAGTGAAGAAGATAAAATTAAAAACATGCTATGACAAAATAGTAAATAATAAACTTGGCTTTAACTTGAATTCATTTGCTTACTCAACTAGGTAAAATTTTAGTTACAGGCACACAAATTATAATTCTCTGATAGTGTGATTTTTGGTAATTACTTAGAAGTATACATAAAAATGAAAATATATAAAACTAATAAAAATTAAATTACTTACTAAAATCAGTGTGAAAATTCCTCAAAAGATTAAAAGACTAAAAGTAGAAATTCCATTTGACCCAGCTATCCCCCTTCTACTAAAATAATATAAAAATAAAATATAAAAAGCTTATAAAATTTATAATATACATACTGTAGTTATGAGCATTCCTATAATCACACATATATATATTTTACACACACACCAACATACATGAACTCTGAGAGATGAAATGGATTTTTAGCATACTGAACCAAATTTTGAAAAATTAATGTGAAAAGAAACCTATGAAAAGCCACTCCTCTGAAAGATACGCCCTGGGTCTCAGCAGATTTCCTCGAAGCCTTGTTGCCCCCGCAATCCCCACCTCTGCCTGCCGCATGGGGCTCACAAAGTCCCGGATGATGCTCAGCTGCATGCAAACCCCGACTGAGATCACAATGTGCTTAGGAGTTTTAGTTTTCAGAATACTGAGTTATGAGACAATTCCTTACCCTAATTATTCTAGAAATGTAAGAGCTTACTGTCCAAACCAATGTCGAGGGCTTTGAAGCACACACTTCCCACATTGTTCTTGCATGCTCATCTCTCTCCAGCTTCCAGTCTCACCACAGCCTAAAATACTGAGCCGCCCTACCCTGACCACTCCAACAGCCTCCCTCTGCCTTCCCCGGAAGCATCATTAGATTGTTCTCATCCATTCTGCCCATTCTGTTCACCGGCATCTTTACAGAGCACATGCCCGATCATGTCACACTGCATGCCTAACACCTTTCAAATACTCCTCCTTGCTCTTTTTAAAATTTATATGAAATTTTAAAATTTCATAACAGTAATAAGAGAAGAACAATAGTTAATACACTGTGTATCATGATCTTCAAAGTAGTTACTCTGAGTACATGACATAGACTCAAAAGACTCTCTTACAAAAAAATAAACCCAAACAGATAATAGCACAAAACTGTCTTTTCAATGAACTAATAGAAACTAGCAGTATGCATGAAATAAATTAGCATACATTTTAAAATACTTTTGAAACAGTGAAGTAGGCAACTTAGGGAATTATTTAAACTTCTTATTTTTTATCCATCCATCTTTGATTTTGTTCTTTATTATATACAGATAGTATATACAAATACTTCTCATTGCTCTTTTAAAAATTTATGTGAAAATTTAAACATTTACTTGTAAGTACATAAATTTAAATATATATATATATTCTCACATAAAACAAACCATACAATATTTAAGCTTTAATATTACGTTCTCAAGTTGCATCCACTTGCCTACAAATGCCTCAAGTTTATCCTTCTGTGTGTCAGAGTAGAAGTGCATAAACACCACCTTTCCCTTATACACTCATCTGCGGATGGACACACACACCGTTTCCAAGATCTAGCTATTATAAATGTGCTGCTATAACCCTACGTATGCATGTAGCCCTGTAATACGATGGTGGGAATGTAAACTATTATAACCACTGTGGAAATCAGTATGAGGATTCCTCAAAAGACTAAAAGTAGAAATTCCATTTGACCCAGCTATGCCCCTTCTAGGTACATCTTCTCCAAAGAGTTAATCACCATTGTGCTTAGGAAATGCCTTCTACCTGAAATGCTCTTGCCCCTGCTTCTATTCCCACCTTTCCCCTAGTTAATTCCTACTGATCCTTCAGATTTCAGCATAGACCTCATGTCTTCTCTCCCCCCTTCTCAACGCCACCTGCCATATAGTGATGCATTTAATTAACGTCAGCATCTCCTGGTATAAGTGCCACGCAGCAAAGACAAAAAGAAAAGGAAATTTGCTAAAATAAAGAGCATCAGAAAGAAAAAAATAGATATAATGAGGTTTGCTTAAGGTACACGATTTAATCTTGTAGTCATTTAGTTGTTCCTTTAAACTATATAAATCCCACAAGCCTCTTTTAATAAAGCACAAACTTGTAACAACAATGCCTCTCTTGGAAGGACTCATCAATAAAAACCAGTAGGTAACTTTCCATAGTGTCCCAAGAAATTTCATATAGCTTGGCCAGCTAAGCAATTGTTGGTAGACTCATGTACTCTGTGTCACTGTCTTTTCATTTAAATTCTTTTTAGAAGGTGTTTTTAATAGCATCAAATGTGCAGAAATCTGTTCTGAATTTATATAATTTAAAAATCAGTCTTAAAAGTCAGTGATTTATGAAGAACACCGACTTGATGATGGCTTACAACATTTTTCCCTCTGACAAGAGACCCATGCTGGGAAAAATAAAACATCCCAATTCTTATTCATGGAAACAGAGCTGCACAGACAACTGTAGCTGCTGAAGGTTAACGACGCTGCCAGGAAACTCTAAAAGCAAAACCAAGGTTGGGCTGGCAGATCGCTGTGCCTTTCATGTCTGCTCCTGAAATATAAAACCATGGAATTTCTAATGTTAACAGACACTTTTTGTCAATATTTATTTAGGCCCTTTTCTGTAGTGTATTATAGAAGACTTTAAGTGAAGGAATGCTCACTTTATAGAGCTGGAACCCACTGAAGATACATTCGTACACTGTGTACTCAGTTTCCAACTTCGGAGATGAACTCCATGCTTATTATTCTATTAACTAAAGATAACAAGCCTGCACATTCCCACTGTTATGGGAGAGTGAACCTCAATGAAATTTGCTGAACTAATTAGTGAACATTTATGCCACAGGATTCCCTGTGTGGATTTCGACCATGTCCAAAGTCTCTCCCTTCCTAAGTCCCTTCTTTTAATAAAGAATCTTTGACACACTGTTTTAGTTCACAAGCTGATGGTGGGGTGAGCAGTGAACCATATTCTTCTGCAACTGTGTACAAACCTTTCTTAGAATACACCTGCAGGGAGCACCCAGCAAGGCACCGCATTTGCATTGCACAAATCTGCCTCCCACCCCAGTTCAGACCACATCAGCTTTAGTCTGGGCTTCCTTTCCACACACTGACAATGGCAAGGCCTTCTGTAAGCCATTAGCACGGCTCTGCTCAGAAATATTCCAAAAGTTGTGATCTAATTTCTCTTGAGTTGTTGGCCTCCAGATACTTCTGAACCTCCGAGGTTTTATCAACAACGCAGGGCATACTAAAAGAATGTAAATTCATTTTCAGAAAAATAATTCCTATGGATTCATGGTTAAAAGTTAAAGCCATTGTAGAGTACACAAGAGGCTGTACTATGGAATCAGAAATGCGACTACAAACACCTTGAAGGAAGTTTTGTATTTTTATACGAAGAAGACCATTGGCAAATGTTTGTTAGACTGCTCTACCTCATGAAAAGACAAGAGTTTCTACATTAGGTGGTATTTAATTTGAAACCCAAGGAGTCAAGTGCATCACTCCTGTCTCTGAACAGAAACCAACGCTCTGAACATGCACGGGAAGCCTGCATAGGAGAAGATGAGCAGCAACACTTAGCAAAACTGGACTGGGGATAAAAGTTATATGTGCACTGGGACTGGTGACACACAGACTTGACCTGGCATCTGTCCAAAAGGAAGCTGACTGGCAAATATGATAGAGTGGAAAATGTTCAGGTAGCATTTCTTACCTTGCAATGAATTGAAGATGGAGAAGAGGTACATGAACGGGATATTTAAGGGTCCCCAGGCAAAGAAAGCAAAACCCCATGTCATGCCCAGCAGAAAGGTGAGGCTGACCACACTGCGCAGGTTCCTTAAAACCTCTTCTCGCAGGGTCCGGTTGCTTCTCTTGCCGTTTCTCCCACAGATCTGCACCATCACCACAATGAACATGGCCACATTCAGGAAGAACATGACTCCAAAATAGCCAGCACAGGTCACATAGAATACCACCGGATCCTGAATCCAACAGCTTAAAAAGAAGAAATGAGAGAGAGTTTTACTACCATGCCCTGCTTATTTAAGACTTTTCTTGGTTTGAGTTGAACTACTGTATATTTCTCTCTTCAGCATCTTTGAAAGACCTTCACTTCCCTAGACCTCAGTGTCTTCTTTGATCTTTCACCGGTGGATTTTTTGCTCTGGTTTTAGATGGCCACCATCTTAATATCTAGTTATTTAAATCAACATGTAAAATACTGGGTGGGTTCTTAAATTCTGATTTGGTATGAGAACACTTTTGGTTGGCTCACCCCAAACCCTGCTAACCTCCTCATCTCTTTTGTACCTTTACTCTAAAAACGGGAAGTTCCAGCACTCATATTTTGCTCGCCTTTGTAATTGGGGCATTTGTGAAACACTGTTCTACAAAATACTATGGAATCAGAAGTTTGCTATAGGATTTTTGGGAGAATCATCTTGACAGATTCATACAGGAAGGATCAAATTTCTTCTTCCTGCTTGTTCTAAGTGAGAAGAGTCAATTTATAGTCATTTAAGTCAAACCTAATTATGGGTTCATTATAGTGAACAAAGTAATTACTACTAATATAATTGGTCTAATTGAGGTGAGACCTTATGATAGCATTGTAAGATTCCTATAAGAATACTTTTCATGCACGATTACAAAGGTTACATTTATTATTAAACATCTTAGTACAATGAATGATATACTCAGAATGCCATATAGATCATAAAATAGAAGAAAATTTAAAACTATAATATGGGCAAAGTTGACAAATGTTATAACTTATAGGTGCCCTAGTACCCAGTGAGAGCCTCACTATTTGTACAGAAACTTACAGTAAATACCAGGAAACAAAAATACATATACTCATCAAAAATAAATTCCGCAAAAGTTCGTATTACTTACAACTCGTCACCTTGTTCCTTCCCGTAACTTTCTTTACCGTAGACTTCACTTTGTTTTCTGCTTGCTAGAACAACTGACACGATTAAGGCAGGCAAACCTGTTATGAAGAGATAAGACATGGAATGCTCTCCTGTAGCACAGAGAACTGTTTTGTAAGTGCTGATAACAACAAGGAAAGAGGAAAGAAAGAAAACCTGTGTCACGGACTCCAGCTCCTTAGAACTGGCAAGTTGATTAAGAGCAACAACAAAATCCTCTCCTTAGTGTGGAATCACCCAGCCTACTTGGCAACAGACAAAATCTGCTCCTCCAAGGCTGATCTTCTGTTTGCTCAGTGATACCCTCTGGAAGTTGCAGGATCTGAGTCTACAGAATCCAGCGCCAGCAAATGTAGTTTCATTGATGACATCACACCAGCCCTCTACAGCACAGCTATAAAGTAAGTGCAACTTATTTTGCCCATTTTCATGTGAAGCAAATAATTTAGAAAAAGTGAGGGAAAAACAACAGGGGTATCAAGGTTTTATGGTCTTCTTTATTCTTTCCAGGGAATCAATGAACTATTCTCATGCCTATTTCAGTGGGACATTCATGCCACCCAAACTCCCAGAAAGATGCTTTTCTTGCCTCCTAAGAGAGCACTGAACATCTTTATTGCCATCTGAAACAAAAAATTGTGAGAAAGCTCTAAAATACCTAGCCCAAGATGAAATCCAGAAAAAGAGCTCAAAGAAAAGATTCCAAACAGGCTAATGTGACCATTCCAAGTCTGACCGAAGAAGGACTCATGTTAAAAAGTTCAAGGCAAGAATTCTGTAAATATCTTGGTTGCACACAAAGAAATAGCATTCTTTCTCTGGCTTCCACAACATGAGCATGTGTCTAGAGACGAGTATGGCACAGGGTCTCAGCCAGCCTTTCTATTTGGAAGCATAATGGAAACGCACCATGGTCTGCCAGCTGCTTCTCCAGACTTGGGTGGGCTGGCTTGGGGCTCAGGAAATGAGTCTTTGGTGACTCAGGCGCTAAGGCTTTCCTTTCCTCCTCAATGTAGTGAGGACTACTGAAGAGTTCTTAAAAAATGTGGTGCTGAGGATGCCCCTTCTTCGGGATATGTAATACACATCAGTCCCAACGTTTGCAGAGCTGTGTGTGCTTCCGAAACAAGTCTTCTCCTGTGAGTAGCAGGCAATGTTTGTGATAGAAAGAACAAAGTGAAAACATTTAGGAGGCTTACCCCAACCGATGATGCAAAATTTTAGAATATAGCGGCGGATGTAGGTGTTAAACACTTTAACTAGAGCAATGTACATGTGGATCGCTTCCAGCCCCATCCAGGTGAAGGTGGCCAGGAGGAAGAAGTGTAGCAGGACCGCGACTGCTGTGCACAATCCGTCCACCTCAAAGGAAGTGATCCAGCCATCCAGGAGGAAGACGAGATTTAGGAACAGCAGGGCTGAACTGAGGTTCATCAGGATTTTGGAGGGATAATCCCTTCGTAGTTTCCTAAAAAAAAAAAAAAAAAGCAGGATTAATGTTTTAAATAAATCTTTTAAGCAGTAGGGCAAATTCATATCTTCTATAACACCTTAGTAGGTTAAGTAATTGCATTCTTTATGGAAGGGTTCCACAACATGGAGAGCTACAGATATTTATGAGTATCTGGCAGGTTAAAGACTTTTTAAATACTGATATTATACTGTTTCCATTGTTTGCAGAATTCCCAACTGGTTTCCACAGATATTCTTCAATCCAGGAAAAATTCCAGCATTATAAGAATGACATTTTTATTTAAAAAAAATTCCCTAAACTTTTTTGAGGTTTTTTGAGGTTTTAATGGGTTAAAAATTCCCTTTACATTGTTTTATTTGTTTCAGGACTAATTTTGCAAGATTTCTGAAGTAAACAATTTCATCTTTTACAATGGAGAAAGCATTTTATACAATTATATTTCTGTAAATGTTTCCCACAGATTTGAGTTTTCTAATAAATAGAAATACAATAATTATAAATCGAGTAAGATAGCTGAAACATTCATGTTGCCTGATCCTATGAGAAACCCGAACATTAAAACTGCACCACCCAACATGATTCACAAGGTGTATGACTGTTCTTAAAAGCCAAGGCAATTTTTTTATTCACATTTGAAATAGTTAGCACTGGGCTTGGCAGACAGAAAAATACTCACTCAAAAGCAACATATGTGAGGAGAGTCACTGCTGAGAAAATAGCAGACACCCCACAGCCGATATAGGTGATGAATGTGAGGACTTTGGTGTTTCTGGCGTCGATCTGGGAGGCGCTTCTCGGAAGGTCCTGCACAAAACATGCGAAGCAGCTGTGAGAGTTCCTCTCCCCTAGCAAAGGTGTTTGTGTCGTCAGAAAGTCACTGCTCACCTCAGAGCAGCTCAGTCTTAGAGGCCGTGAAGAGCAAAATGCACCCACACTGGAATCCCACTCATCACACATTTGCACATCAAGTGAGACAGTAAGGCAGCTTTCTCGTCAAAACAAGCGACACATTGCTTTGGATCTTTATCTTGTTACCCGAGCTCTTTGTGCCGTGTATAACCTGAAGAGCAAAACTATTCTATCTCAGTTCAGGAATACAGCTCAGCTCTGAGTTCAGTTCATGGTACACACAGACACACACACACAGACACACACACACACACACACGCACAATCGAGGCTCTCTCCACAAACTGGAAAGGAGGTAGCTGCCTTGCACAATAAGCAATCAGGTACATCTCTCTGTTTACACAACTAAGGGTGTGAGCAACCCAATGTACAAATGGAGGCTCCTACAGCCTGACAGCCAAACCCTTGGAACCTTAGATTCTTTGCAGGCGAAGATCCTCAGAAAAGCTGCCACTGGTGCCTATGAGTGTGTGGATCCAAGGCTGATGTTGAGGCTTCTAATCGTGGTCATTTCAAAGCTTGGTATGCGTTATGCAGAAGTTTTAAAAAATTATTTGTAATAAATGAGATGCTAAGAATTTTTAGTTTTTTTTTTTAATCCCCATAGACCTGAAAGGCACAATTTAAAGCATGGGGTTACTGTGGAGTGGCAGAAGTAAACATTTTTCACTACACTAACATAGAAATCATTAATTTCACTGTGTGGAGGCAGACTTTCAAAATCTGGACATCATAGGAAAATCTCTCCTTTCCTCCTTAACTTGGGGACTAGAACAGGCATACATCTTAAGGTGAGACTAGATAATCATGGCTGGATGAAAGAACTGCTTCAAACATGCTCATGTTCAAAAACAGCCTTTTTAGAAATGGGGTTTATTGAACATCCAATGTAAACGTCTGGATTTGTATGAAAAAATACTGATATAGATTTTTCCTTCTATGTACTAATTTTCCTTAATTTAAAAAATGTCAGTAAATCTACTTACACATAGGTCTTGAGTAAACAGTGTTTGTGAGCACACGCATGTGTGTGAAATGACCGACACAATAGGGAACAGGTAACCTTGTAACATGGAGAAGTATACAGAGTGACAGAAACCAGCAGACTCGAGAACTCCTGAGTCAGAAGAGACGCCTCATGATCCCAAGATCCCTGGAAGTCTGCAAGCATACGATCACGGGTAGATGGCATATGCGATGGGTGTCCAGTCAGTGCCACGTGGTTCCAGATAGGCTACCTTGGCAATAGTCTAGTTATCCCAGATCTCACAGACCAGAGAGCTGGATCACAGACTTGAGGGACCTCCAAGCGATGGGTCACTGGCTCTTGTCAAAGCTCTCTTCCTACCTAGGTAAGGCAACTGACTTGTGAGCCACAACACAACACCGAATTCAAAATAAAAATTAACTAATACTGTTCACTGATATCTGTTCGCACAGAATTTTTATGTTGCTTTATACACACAGAGAATTAAAATACAAAAGTATTTGTCCCTCTAGATTTGCCAACATAAAAATGTATTGATGTTAAAAATATAAAGGTTTTACTACAGAGAAATACTGAAGTGGGTTTTATATTCTACATATTTTTGTGGATTAGAAAATACACTTTGGGTGACTGTGTCATGGGAAAATTTGATATACAAGTGAATAAAGAGTTTATCTAGCAAGAAAAACTCTTAACAATGTCTTGGTGGTCTGTCTGGAAAATGCTGAAAGGATATGGACACATTGCCAAAAAGGATAAATTTTGGAAAGTTTTTCTTCCAGCAGTTTATAATCTTACAAATGCAGTCAAGATGGAAAACGGAAAGATAACATGAAAAATGCCTATCTCCATATACATACAAAATGTTTATTCAGATGGGAACATAAAAATAATATGTAAATTACAAACTCATACAAAGGGATTCAAAGCAATGGGCAGCTAAACTCTGCTTATATATAAATCATCTCTGAGTAGTCAATTTGTTTTTATTATTTCTGCAATATTAAACTTATTCGCACATAGTGGAAATGTTTCAATGAATTAAACTACAGCTTATATCCCTAAATGACTAATCTGACAAAATAGGATATTTTATAAAAGAATATCTGCTATCACTTTTAAAGAAAGGAGAAGATAAAAGGAAATTTAAATTTATTTTTACATTGCTAAGGGAAAATGTGCTACCATTTAACAGTTCATTTTCATGTTCTGCCACTAGATAAAAGTATTCATACTTTATAGGAAATAAAATGTTATTTTCTGTGATTTACCACCTTTTTCAATGACTTGTTCTTATCCCTCCGAGTATTTATGTCCTGGGTTGTCAGGAAAATTACAACTTGCAAAGCTGCCATGGGACAATGGCCACTTGCATAGGCCAAGTAGTTCACGAGCCAAGTACTACATCCCACAGTTCCTCACTGGCCCCTCCCAGTCCCCACAGGAAGGAGGGTGTAGGATTTAAGGGAAAGGATAAACACAACCTCATGTCTGTGTTTCCAATTGGAAAAGCTTTAATGCCTCAGCTGACATTACTCCTGGACCCTATTAAAAAAACACACGTGGTTGGTCCCTTTTTGGAAATTACTGGAACAAGGGCTGTTACAATAATGGAGGCTGCTCTAGATACCAGAGAAATGTTTGCAAAAACACAAATTGACAGGACAAAAGGCAAAGGTGTGGTACTACAGGTGAATTCAAGCAAGTCCTTGGGTGGGCGTGGACCTTGAAGATCTGATGGGGTGAAAAAACACACTGTTCTCCTTATTGATTGAAACTGTCCAGTATACGGGCTAATGAACTAAAAAGCAGGGCCATGGAAAAGGAGGAGGGAAGAAAGGAAGAAAAGAATGCCACGAAGCCCTGAGCATGAGAGAGATACTGTCCCTATCATCTCTCTTGCAGGAGTGAGGTCTCTATGCTAACTTGAGTCACTAATCCATCCGTACAGACTGCAGTCTCCAGGACAGGTCATCACCTATCCCACTGTCACGGTACAGAGTAATAGTCAAACATACTGGGTCATAACCCAAGGGAGAAAGGCTTTGATCCATCTATTCACAATTTTCTTCCATATCAGTAACATTGGACCTTTTCCTCATTTTAACTTTTCTCCCTCATTTCCTTTCCATTTCCCTGTCTCCTTAATCTATTTCTCTGAAGGATTTTATGAGGATTTTCTTTTCTCTAGAATTATCTATCATACCTCTTAATGCCATGGAAAGAATAAAGTTCTTTTCTAGAATTACCTTCACATAATTGTAATATATGCTCTCTGCTAATTAGATTATCATTTAAGAATCAAGATTCAGGCTACAGATGAACATTATCAGAAACTAATTTCCAAAACACAAAATCTAAGATGGTGGACTCACAGAAAACATATATGCCTTCTGAAATTATATCACGTCAGAGGAGCTTCAACTGTCCCCCTTACCATCAGGACCCCAAAGTGTGTGAAGTGGTTACACAGGCAGATGGTCTCACTGGCATCTGAATCTCTGTGAACAACACATCCTGACGTGTTCCATCCCCCAAAACTCTCTGTGGAAGAAATGGGCAAAGAGTGAAAAAACAAGAGGTCAGTGATTTTTCCGTATGGGGTGAGACCTTTTTCAGGGAAATTTGCTTTAGTTCCTCCTAGTTTACAGTATTTATCTGTAGGATGGATACAGTGTGTGTGTGTGTGTGTGTGTGTGTGTGTGTGCGTGTGTGTGTGTGCGCACACACACATGCACGCCTTACTGGAGATGGAGCCCAGGCGTGCTCTACCATGAGCTATCTACCTAGAGTTTCCTTTTTTTAAAAAAAAATTTTGATACAAGGTCTCACCAAATTACCCAGGCTGGCCTCAAACTCGTGATCTCCTGGCTCAGCTTCCTAAATAACTGGGCTTATCATTCTTAAAGCCAAAGCCACCAATACCTTGAATAATTTAGATTCCTAGAATCATGAAATGTTAGTGCTGGGCAGGCAGAGAGAGATTACCTAGTTGGTGCTTTCAAACTATTATTCTACTGATGCCATTCAGGGTTTCCTCAGGTATTTGACTCAAGTTTAATTTTTAACTTTTATAAAAACAAATGCCTAGAAAAAGAGTAATCTTTTCAAATACATTACATGCTAATCAACTCGTTGGAGACTAAGGTACGCCCCTGGCTGACAAGGTCAGTACACATTTCTGTGAAAATAATATAAGAACAAAGTAGCTCTGCTTTCTTAGAAGTTGCTACTATGTACGCAGCAGTCACACATGGTCATGACTTATTACGTATAGTCTGAATACATCTTAAGATGACTTGTATCATGTAATATGACATATGAGCAACTCGCACATTATGAAAATACTGGATCCATTTATTTTAAAGTACCAGGAAATTTTTGTAATGATGTACAGTATACACGTAAATCAGTATCTCAAAACTGTGCAGCTAATACACTGAAGAACAACACTGCCCATCTCTGACAGGGAGTATAAAAAAGGGGGTTTGTGCCACTTTCAGGGTACACAGAGTTTAAATACACGCCTCCATGATGCCAGGACCCATCTGGCTACAATGATTCCAGTGAGGGACTCTGAGGGAAGGTGATCCTTACAGTGCAAAAACAAGAAGTTTCATCAGTTCTGTGCCTCCTCAAAAGCATTTACACACCTATGCTTAATGATGTGCTTTTCTCTTAATTTTGCTTCCCTTTCTTGGCTGTTAAATGCCACCTTGGAGGCTATCCTTTTTTTCCATGTCCCTTATTGCCACTCTGATCCCTATGTTTATCTTCCTTTAGTGTGTTTTCCACCACTTCACAATTTCAGATCTGGAAGCTGCATTTCTAATTGCATGCTGTGGGCATATCAAGTAGTTCCCTTGGATGTGTTCTAGAAGGAGATTATGCATATGTCTCCATTCAGCTAAAAGTGGCAACAAAAATACATACTGTATTTTAAAATAGGAGAGGTAGTTTTATTAAAAAAAAAAGCTAGAAGAGTTAAGTATGTGTACTTCTTTGTGCAAGACTGAAGAGTTCCAGCAATTATAACTGACTCACCGAGCTGTCTAAACCCAATTTTGCAGCTCAGTTGCCCTTACACTTATCCTGTGAGTCATTTTGGTTTCTGAGGCAGAATGAAAGGAAACGGGGGTGTCTAACAATGTTTAAAATTCAGTTCTCATCTATATTAAGGCAATCTGTATTTTAAAAACTTACTGTTTTTGTTCAAATCCCAGAAAGCACAGATGGGCTGATGCACTTCCTATATTAACACAAAAATAAATATGTGAAATTGTGTTTAAAATAACTTAAAATCATGTCATTTAAATGTGGCATTAGAATGAACATGCCCATGGTTTCACGAAAAAAATAGATCAGCGTTAGACAACCTGGATAACCTGACAACATCAGAAGTGATCTTTCGTGTAGAGACTTCAGGTAAAAGTAAACCATAACCTCATGAAGAATCACATGACCCACTTTTCTGCAGCCCCACCAGTAAATACTAAATCCACTATCATTCTTAGCACTTAGCAAAACTCTTTACACTGTAATTTCCCATCATCTTCAAAATATTCTCTTAATCCTGAGTATATACATGAACAAATTGAAAACCGGGCCCTGAGACAGTTACACACACAATACTCAATAGTACCAGTCACAGCAAACAAGTAGTAAAAGCACCCCAAATGTCCATGGATAGGTGAATGCATAAACAACACATGATATAAACATATCACGGAGTATTATCCATCCCTAAACAGGAAGGAAATTCTGACACTTGCTACAGTATGGAGAGACTGAAAGTAGCAGAGGGTTGCTGGGGGCTGCTGGGACAGGCAAATGGGAGCAGAGCTTCAGGTGGGGAAGACAGGAAGGCTCTGCAGTGCATGGTGGTGACGGTCACACAACAGTGCGAATATACTTAATACTGCTGAATGTATAGCTTAAAATAATTAAAAGTTGATGTATGTCAGTGCTGAAAACAAGAGGTTGAAGGTAGACTGAGAAGGTCTTTGAGGCTTTGTGACAAAGGAAAGTGGGTTCTTGGATGACTTAACTTGGATCCTTTGAGCTTGTCAGTCTGCTTACTGCCTGCCTACCTTCCTGCTTGTCCAATACATGGCAGAATCATGACTGGAACCCTCGGCAAAAGTGTAAAAATCCTGTCCTGGGCCACTAGGCAATATGAATTCCCATCTAACTCTACCACATAAAGAGAGACAGCAAGGACAATGCAGCAAGAGAAAATTTGCCAAGATGTTTAGCAGCTGCTAAGCTCTTAAAGATAAGTCCACCCTCTTCTGTTTGTTCCTTGACCCAGCTGCAGTTAGCTTCGACTTTAGAAATATAAACAATCAAAACCTCCAATGGCAAAATGGTGCAAATGCATCTGCACTCAATTTATTTGAAGCGATATATGTCATTTCTTAAGAGCAGCGGCCTCTTTTTTCACTGCCATTCTCGTTTCTGGTGATTGAGTCCTAGGTAAGACCAATTTTCTCCTAGCTGCTGCTTTTACTTTGAACAGAGCACTGCCTGACAAGCTGTTCTCCCTTCTGGAAGATATACCCCCTACTCATAAGAAGTGACAGTTACCTTTTATCATGTAGTGACAAGGCTCACAAAACACTACAATAGTTGCACTGTTCAATTTCTATTGGTATTATTTTCTTACCTGAGTTCTTGTATGTTTGATTTTAATTTGAACAGGATCCTTCAGATCCTGAATAGTAATGTTTCCAATACTGCACGCCATCACATAACTCACTAAGATTTTTCTTTTGGGTCCTACATCCTTTTAAAGGGGAAAAAAATGAATAGCGTGCATTAGTCAGATGTACACACTTTTATTTTGCTTTGCTGCTCCAAAATAAGCAGACTGTCAGCAATTTTTACACTTAAGATCTTCAATTGTAGAACATCCTGTTTATAACATCAAATTACTGGCTTTCCTGAAGGAGCTGTGCTATTTCCTTTATTATAATAAATACATCGAAGGAACATTCTGACCCAATATTATAAAGCAATATCCATAAAGCTCCACTCTTGATTGTAGTGACTGATGTCAGCCTGTTAACATCTGAAACAATGCAAACCCATAAATAATATACACTCATAAAAAGCTGTGAAACAATTAGATCATTTCCCTATTCTAGAAAACAGGTGAAGTTGTTTTCCTTTAGAAGAGTATGAAGGAAATATGGTGTGAAAAATAAAAAGCAATTCGTCTTTCACATCCATGCCAACAGCCCAATGTGTTTACTTATACCCAAATGCAATTCACTTGAGTCAAGTCCTATCCGAAGTTCCACCTTCTGTGACTGCGTACGTGCCAGCGGCTGCAGACTCCCGCGCCGCGATAAGGGGGCCGAGAAATCAGTCAGCAAACGTGCTGCAAACTGATCTGGGCCAACAGGCCGTCTCCTTAGCAGGTTCTCTTTTGTTCTCTTCCACTTGTATTTCTTGTCAAACTTCCTGAATTTCTTTCTGCACCACAGCTTATATGTCAGCTGTTTTGGAAAAACTAAAATTTCTTAAATTCCGCATAAACCATAGCATCCAAAATACAGCTTTGTAAATTACATTTTAAGGGGACCACTACCAAAAACACTGAAAATTGGCCAGTGATACCCAGGCTTTTCTTTAAAATACTCCTATATCGCTCATGCTGTTGGCAGAGTATCATAGGGCCTTTAAAATGTTTTACTGGGCTGTGAGTTTACTTTAAAAGCCCGGAAGATGCTTCTTAATAATAACTCTGATCGGAAGATGCCAAATGAGGAGGAAAAACGACATGGAGAAGAGCTGACGCAAAACAGCAACAGTCCTTACTGCCCCAAGAGTTGTATGAGATCCTTGCACACAGGAAACCGCTCCTCTTAACTGGACCCCCTCGTTTGTATCATTCGTATCATGTAACACTTCTTTTATATTTAATATGAGTTTTCAATGTGATATTGCCTATTTATTTATTTGTTTATCTTTTTGACACAGGGTCTCGCTATGCAATTCAGGCTGACCTTGAGCTCACTTTGTAGCCCAGGCTGGTCTCGAACTTGCAACGATCTTCCTGCCTCAGTCTCCCGAGTGCTGGGATTGCAGGCATGCACCATCACGCCCGGCAATGTGACATTGCTACAAGTCTCAAGTTATAATAATTTTAACAAATGCAGTTGTATGTATTCATAGCTATAAAGTTCTTTAGAGATATATGTTTTTATGTAAAATAAATTATGTTTATATAATCATAAATAGGTCAGTAGAAAACATTTGCACATTAAATTTTGGAATTATGTATCTCTCCGGTGCTATGTTATTCTTTTTCCTTACCTATAAAGTACCGAGCCTTTCCATTATGCATGATGCATAGGGTGGGTGTGTTAGAAACAATCTAGTGCCCTTGAGACTTATAACCTTCTGTGACATAGCTGCACTGTCTGACATAGGCTGGTAGTTTGAATTTAATACACAACTGTTTTTTTAAGAAAGAATTTGGCCAAACTGCTCTAGATGCGGTTGCACTCACAAAGGCAACCGGAGGTCACCAGTGTTTGCTGGCAGCGAACCTTCTAGTATCTAGAACCGATGCCAATAAAAATTATAATATGTGCTCAGCACAATGCCATCCTACTCTGCGGATGTGCAAGGGCCAGAGGTCACTGGAAATACTAATGGGAAAACTGATTAAAGCCAAGAATGCTGCTCATTATGTAAACAGTGCTTCCTGCTGAGCTAAAAAAAAATCCTTTCCTTTGGTGTTCAATTTCTTTAACTTTAAAAGTCTAAATGACCAAACAGCGTATGATATTTAACCAAAGGAATACTGAATAGTTACTTCTTCACTAACTCAACTTCTAATTGCATCATCCAGGTTTTAGCCTAATATTTGACTTATTTTAAGAACTGGAATAAACATATCATGTTAATAAGAAGATTATCTGAAATAAAATATTTAAACAAAGTGCTTTTGAAAATGAAGTAGATTAATTTTTCTATATTTTATGATATATTTCAAAGGAATCGGAATCTTTATTTTATCCCCGAGGAAAGAAACTTCAGTGGCAACTGAAAAATAATAATTTAATGAAGGCTTACCTGGAAAAGTCCAGTTTTATTGAAGAAAGTAAACTGTGCTCTTCTAACTAATACAGAATCTTCTTGACTTAAATTCTCAAGTAAGTTTGGAGGCAAAATTACAGAAGCCAATGAATCTACTTGTCCATTCTCAAAATCCATCTGTCGAACCATGACAAATCAGTGGATCAATTACAATGACATGGCAATGGTAACTTATTCTACATGTTGGGTAAGTGAGAGAACAAATCCAAGTATCAAATTAGCTTGGATCAGATGTGCCCTTCACCGCTACACAGCAGTCCCTGCAACTCCTAGATAAATTGCCTGCAGACAGAGCTGGAGGTCTCACTCTGGGTTTATATGTGTGACCAAGCAGTAAATGCTTTGATTCTAACTGAGGCAAAATGAGATATATACAAATCTGTTAACATTTCAAGTATGAGACTTAGATTCGGTGGCATCACACATGGAGATTTCTTCAAAACAGCGAAAGATAATAACTATGAGGCAGAGACAGAGACAGACCGAAGGTAATCATTTGAGGGCAGAGACTGAATTAGCTTTGCAAAGAGGAAACATTTAAAGTTTAAGAACATTCTCTGCTATCATTTTTCCTGAAATTGTAGCTGAGGCTAGCCTGCTTTTTTGTGCTCTCGGCATGAGACTGAGGCCAATCCAGTTTTCATTCTTAAAATATGCAAAGATAATTGCTCCAAAGAGCCCCTAGTCTAGGAGAAACATGGTTTTGCCTGATTCTCGTCTCCAACTTTTTCTATTTTTGTGTAGTCCATCCCCACAGCTGAAGAAATATTACACTTCACATGCACAGTCTCCAGGTCAGGAACCAGGGCGCATTCATTTTGCTTGGCCTGGTGGTGAGTGAACATTGTCTGGCATGTAGTTGGCACCTGGAAATTATTCACTGAAGTCTGATTTTAATATGTCCAAGAGGCACTCCATTAATCTGGCCCCGGATTCCTTGTCCAGCCTTACTGTTACTTGCTGCTCAAAGACTTCTACATTATTGGTTTTCAAAGTGCGATCTTTAGGCCAGAGGTATCAGCAATATCTGGGCACCTACTAAAGTGCAAATCTCAGAACCCTATCCAGCACCTGTGAAACGAGAAGCTCTGTGGGTAAGGCCCTCCAGTCTGTTTTAATCAGTCCTCCAGGATGTCTATGCTTAAGGTGAGACCCACAGGCAAAGAGAAGACCTCTACTTCCTCCTGTCATGAGCCTTTATTGAAGTTCCTTCTCACTGTCTGATCCTCATACCCACTCTCAATATGGCGGCCCCTATGCATGCTTTAATACCTAGCTCCACATCACTTCTTGTAGAGGAGATCTTCCATCATCCAGGCTATGAATGTAATTCCTATGTGCTTCCAACATCACCTTATGGCAGCTGATATAATTAAGCATAGCTAATGTTCAGATCTGCTTGTTACTTCTTTGACCAAGATTTCCTTGAAGTAGCAACTGTTAAGTGATTAAAAAGTCTGTATTTGTCTAATTAATTAAAATTAAAGAAACTACTTGCTCCTTACCTGGAAATATGATTCATTATTGCTTGGAAGACCAATGCTAAAATTTGAAATTGTACTCATTCCTGGGATCAGGGATGATACTCCAAGAGCCAAATTTCGAGTTGTAATATTCACATGTGGTGTGCTATTTAGGTCTATCTTGAAGGCCAATTCATCAATTGTTTTTAAGGCTCTTAAAGAGATGACAATAATATCACTGTTAAGTAATACAATGTTTTACGTACTTGAACACACATGTTTAGTTGCATGGCGAAACACAAACCAAATATAATTACGTTTAGATTTTCTGATCTTAGTGCAAATAGCGACAAAATTACCCCAAACTACAACTATATCAGTTAAAACACAAAGAGATGCACACATTCTTAAGTGAACTATCTGCTGTAAGGGAGAGAAACAACTAAATTATCCTGAACAGATACTGTTTTCCATCTGTCTTACCCTTCCCTGTACATGAAAAATGTTCTCCCCATATAAGTTAGTGAGAACTAAATGAAACAATGTGGTAAAAGAGTTTTAGGAACTGTAAGAGATTGTAAAGGTATTTGCAATTATTATTATCATGATGATAAGATAGTGAATACATTTACTTTCAGTAATAGAGATTGAACCCAGGGGACTCTACTACTGAGCTACATCTCAGCCATTTGCATATTTTATTTTGAGACAATGTCTCACTTAGTTGCCCAGGCTGGACGTGAACTTGCCATCCTCCTGCCTGAGCCTCCCGAGTATCTGGGGTTACAGGAACGTGTCACTATTAAGAGAATACAAAGCATGATAAAAACTAGGTGAATGTTTAAATTTTTAAAAGTTATTACAGTAAAAGAGACACTGCTATTAATTCTCCTCAATATATTCCCCCTGACTTGGGGTTTCTTCGTGTATCCCTATCACTCCCATCATTCTTGGTACTTTCTAAAGCACTTCTGGAAGTCCTCTTTTGTGAGTGTCTTCACTTACACTGTTGCTGCCTTAATGTCCTGAATCAATGCTAAATGTTTAGTGTTCATGGCCTCCTTGACTTTGGGGAAGACTCAGAAGTCATATGGGGCCAGATCCAGTGACTAAGGTGGATAAGACATACCATAATATTTTTACCAGCCTGCCTTTCTGTGAGATGGCACTTGGCATCTGCAATCACCCTACTTTTGATCAGATATCATAAAAACATTCATGAAAGAGAACTTTAATTGTTTCAGAAAGTGCACGAATTGTGGGATAAATCTGAGGGGAGCATTTTGAGGGGGATTAATGGCAATATGTCTCTTACTGTAATAAATTTTAAAAAATATGAATATCATGTGTTTGATCACAACAGATACATTTTAATGGATATAATATGTTCATCTAAAAATGTGTTTGAAAGGAAAAACATTTAATAGCTTAATGCTAATATATCAAATACATACATATTAAGTGTGTAAAAACTGCATTCTATAAAAATGGGTTCCTTCTCACCTGTCTTGAGCATATTCAATTTGTAAGTACACATTGTGGTGGCAGTCTGTGGCACAGGTCTTATGATAGTTCACTTACAATCATCATGTCATACATAACCCCATAGAATTCTTCAAACTATATTATGCTTTTGGGGGACTATTTACATGTCTGCCAGATAACAACTTTATTTTGTAAATAATATTTCTCAGAAAGATATAGAACTTTGAAGTTCACTTTGTCAGTGACTTTGGGAATGATCTAGGCATCTTTCAGAGATTTGAGTTATGAGGTTTTAGGCACAGGGAATTCAGATAGGTGAGAAATTATGTAAAAATACACTTAGCCAATAAGTTTTACCTTCCAGGAAAAGAAAAGGAGATACTTACTCGGAAGAAGACTCAAGCAAGTCATTATCTGAACTGCTTAAGATGTTGGAAAATATATTCATGAGAGTTGAGCCGAGTGTTATATCAATATTTTCTTCCTTATTCACAATTCTTTTGACCTGTTCTACGATGCTGTTAATATTGGCTGAAGTTAAATTCTGCCCATCAGCAGTTAAATTTAAAATCTGATTGGCAACTTCATTTGCTTCCCCTAAAAAAAGGCAGAAGAAACAACATACAAACTTTTACTTGTGAATTTTAAGCACATTTAGGAATGGAAGCATAATGCGATATTTTGCTTTATAGGTAAACCAGGCAAATGGGGTTTCTTCATGTATCCCTATCACTATCTTCACGGGGTTATAATATTTCCTTATACACAGACAGTAAGTTCTCTCAGTGTTCATATATCATTCTAAAGAAACAGTCCACAATCAGTGAATAAAGGTACATTTGCTGCTTTAAAAAAAATCAAACTATACAATACTGATAAAAACAGCAATTTACATATTATTTATAAGCCTTCTCTAGACTTTACTCACTATTTTTAATCTATAAAATAAATAGAACAGAAAAGTAGGATGAAAGGGAAAGGTATTTTCTAACTGAAGTGAAACAATCATTTGCTTAAGTTTTAATATTAAAACAGCAACACACAGCAGAACATGTCTGAGTAGAATGAAAACCATGAATTCATTTCATTTTGTCTTTTAGAAGTGAAGAGAAATCTTCTACTTACTTGAGCAGTTGGAGATGTCCAGGGGTCCCCAAAAGACTAATGACGTGTTGCGATAACTATAAAACAACAACAAAAAAGCTATTTCAAATACTTAGCACAAGTGACAAAATCAGTAAGTTTTAGAGTTTTCGTTAATATCTAGGTAAGTTTTGTTTGAAATAAAATTGTAATACACTGAAATAAAACTCACACTAAAAACCCATGATGGAAGAAATCAGTAACTTACCTCACAGAAACAAAATCCTAGCAATACCCTGTATCCTAACCTGGATAATTGGTCAAGCACTGCTTCCAGAACTTTACAGGTAATATTGGATTTTGATTTCATATAACTCTGGAATGCAGATTATAATGTACATGCTATAGATGAAGAAATAGACTTAGATAAACCAAGGAATTTTCCAGTCTCCAGCCAGGAAGAGGTAGGGCCCCATGTCAAATTCCAGTCTGCAAATCTCTAAATCTCTTTTCCCTCCTCCCTACCAAGTGTCAAGCACGGCAATTGATGCAAAGTATTTACACTTGGGCAGTTTCCGTTTCTGAATTCCCTCCAAGGAAACCCAGATTGGGAGTAGAGTAGGTGGTGAGAATTTGACACGCTTTGCGGCTCAGTGAATCGCTGCAATGCTTTTTATTCTGCTGTGTCTGTTAGACATTGGGGAGAATTTTCTATACGCTGAATGTGTCCAGCATCGATTGCCCCAAGTTTGATCTTGTTTTTGTTCCCTCTTTACCGCTCCTCTCCTTTCCAAATAGAAAGTTTGAAACTCCAGATTCACATTCTCAGGCTGAAATCTGGTTTATCTGTACGTATTTGCAGTGCTCTTGACCCATCTCTGGGTCTCTAGCACTGAATGATTCAGAGACCCACAGATTGCTGCCCTGCCTCCCTGTCAGTACAGTGCATGGGAACCACTGGCTGGCAAAGTCAGCAGCGTTATTACCATGTCCGCGAGACAGAGGAGCCGGGCTTGTCGGGACACGGGAGGCTGTACTCAGAAGGGGGCACCGCCGGCCAGTGAAAACCTTTGGGTTCCTCCACGGAATCACAGACGCCTGGGAGAAAATAAGAGCAAAATGGAAACAGCACTGCTTTCCCTCAGTCAAGGTGCTGCAAAATGACAGGCCTGGAATTAGGCATGGATTTCATCCAATAATAAAGTGCTAGTGTTTTAGATTCAGAACTTTTTAAAATTCAGATATTAGAAAGCATAGACATTTAAAACATTTCAGATACACAAATTAATGCACCTTACAAAAGCATCCAATAGAAAGACACATGTATGTGAGTACCTATAAACGTGAAATGTAACATTTTCATCCACATAAATCATCAGCAGATATTGGTAAGCGAGTTTTACTAAAAAAATAAACACTGTAAGGAAATGAAAAAAATTTATGAGAACTTAAAAATGTGACTGGATCCTCTTAAGAGGGAAAAGCCTATAAAAGAGTGTGTTAATAGTATCATCACTGAGTTGTGAGTATATTTTATAGACATTTTTCTAGTTTCTCCAATAGTATCCTCTGCCTAAGAGCAAGACGGCTCCTGCAATCCAACTCCACCTGTTTAGCTTCAGTTTCGTCCCCAAATCATCCCACGTTTTGTCAGGAAACATCCTGAGTAATTTGTATAACAAATGATTCAGATTTCACATTTTGAGAAATACCAAAGTAACAGAAATATATCCATAACCACCATAAAACCCTGTATTTCTGAACTGAACACCACCAAGTTTATACTGGACTTCTGGGAGCCAGGAAGAAATTCTCAGTTTTCACAAACTGAGAATTCAAATGACTTTCCCATCTGGAACATGCTGTTTAACGGTCACACTTTAGCCTTTTATTTTCAAATGACAGAAACTTTTCTCCATGCATCCACTTGCAGAAAAACAACATAGCCAAGTATGCAGAAAAAGTTATCCCGGGATTCCTCAGCCCTTGAGGGCAGATAGCACGCATTCTCCCAAGGCCTCTGGGCCATGTATTACCTGGTGTTTGTCACATTAGTTCTTTGTGGGGACTTCTGTGAGATGGGGCATCGGCTGTGCTTTTACCCCCTAAAGCCCTTTGTTAGGAAGCAGGCATTTTCCCACAACGAAAGCTATTTATTATTATCAATTCTTTGCATTCAGCCAGCTCTCTGAGCTCTACTACTTGTGTACCCTGACCGAGTTCGGCTGGGGTCCCTCCCAGAAGTGGAGGTGCCTGCCTGTTTCCCACACTGTGACGGGGCCTTGGCCATGAGCACCCTCTTAGAGGCCGGGGGACGCCTGCTCTCTACTTCAGCCTCCTGAGGGTACACAAGGTTAAGCATGACAGTTGTCTTTTCCTTGAGCTCTAAGAAAGTAGGTAATTGTAGGCATACAGTAATCCTAGAACAATTACGATGCTGCACATATTCTTGAACTTTTGCTTTCTAAAAATATTTCCATCAAGATTCATTCATTTAACAAGTATTCAAGTGCTGGGGAATGTGTTGGGTTCTGGGAGGAGGTAGAAGTAAAGGTCTTAAAAGAATAAGATGTGGTCTCATACTAAAGATTACTATTTAAAGACAAATACTTAAGAATGTGAATACGTGTAGTTAACACCTCTCCCCCCCCACTTTCTCTCTCTCTCTCTGCCCCCTTCCCTCTACTCCCTTCCATTTCCTTTCCTCTTTCTCTTCCTTTCCCTCCCTCTCTCCTTCCCCCTTCCTTCCTCCCTTCCTTCTCTCCTTTTCTTCTTTCCTGTGTATGTGGTACTAGGGACTAAACCCAGGGCTTTCACATAGCACTCCATCTCTAGACTCTTTATTTGGAGATAGGGCCTTGCTAAGTTGCTAAGTTTCCCAGGCTGGCCTCAAACTTACAATCCTCTTGCCTCCACTTCCAAGAGATTCATGGGCCACTACACTCTGCTCCCAAGACTACCATTTTCCAAAGTGGATGAGGCCCAGGTAGCTAGACTACAAGTAGCGGAAGCTCAGATGTAGTGATAAACATTTACACATGGTGATGCCACATAAGGCTTCACAGACAAGGTAACCTCAGGGCTACTTTTACAAATATGTAGGTGATAATCGGGAGGGCAGTGAGAGTAGAGAAGGGCAGGGTCAATGGAGATGCACAAGAGTGTGTCTAGGAAGGGCAAACAGGGCCAGAAATGAACAGGTATAGGTCAGAAGTAATTTGAGGCCCAAGGTATTTGAGGCTCTCAGATATCTGGCCTATTTCTGCAAAGACAGTGGGATTATTAATGGAGACAGGCAATGCAAGAGAAGGAAATGTTTTACAATGAGAAACTGCTTTTTATAAAATTTACCTTATGAGAGTTTTCACATCCATGTGTACACACAGTTTTTTTAAGTTCCTGAAGTTGAAGCCAATTGTGGTCAAGTTATTCTGACATTTGCTCATGTTCTTGGTATTTTTATAAAATATCCCTAAAATAAATATGAACTCCCATTTGCCTCCTTTATTTCCTTAGATTCACAGGTATGAGTTGCTTTGCTCTTTTTTATTGTTATTTTACACTTTTGTTCCAGCATCTCCAATCCAACAAATTTTATCATCAGAAAAGATATGTTCACACAGACAAATGACACATAAAGGAAGATTACCTCTACTGTTGCTCAATTAAACCCGAACACATAGTCATATAACGTACATAGTGTAAAAAACCACTCACTCACCCAGTTGCCTCACATTCACTGTATACAGCCTCAGGCCCTCATCCAGGGATTCGTTATTTTGTAAAAGCTTCTCCTGAATGGTTTTTCCTTCTAAGTGGACATTGTTGGTATCATTGTAAACGATATGGGCCCAAATCACCAACCTAGAAAAACATTTCAGACAGAACTGTCATTGGAGGTGTTGACTGGCTCGCTGTTCTCTGTTGGGAAAATCAGGACACTTGGATCTGGGGGGATGACCATGAACTGCTGAGACGGAGATCAGTAAAGGTGCTCTTGGGCTTTCCCTGCTGCTGCAGGCATTACAATGAAAAACTCTCAGCACAAGTAGATTTTTATAAGATGCATAACTACATGTGTAACTTTACCATATAATCCTGTTTTTCTCAGAGATATTTTAATATTCAATGTCAATAACATTTAATGGATTATATAATAATACTTGCACATATAAGAATGGGTTTTATTGATGGTTAACTCTACATTGTTTCTTTATGGCCAGAAATAAAATTTTGAAAGAAAAATTAGGATTTTAATTGATAATTGACTTTTGAAGTTATTAACTGCTATTGAATAAAGATGTGGCATAATTTCTCCAGATGAGCGACAAATAATTTTCTATTTTTATGAAGCAACTGGAAGTGTGTTGTATGGTAAAATTCATAAATGAGTCCTTAAAACTACATTCTGGGATGGGTCAGCATATTATCAAAGTTTTAAGGTCTGACCTTAAGATCTACAAAACTAAAATCTCTAAGAAAAGCAAAGAAATGTGTTCTAAAATCCCTGTCAAAACATTTGGTTATACAATTTAAAATAATGTAATTTTATGTTCAACTATAATCACAGCTGTAATCAACGTCAGAAATCAAAACTATTAATTATACACTGAGATAAAATTAAATGACATTATCTTGTCAGGTAAAAGAGAAATTCTTTCCCTTAGATGTGATATCTTTGGGCATGCAAAAGAACTTTCGTTTTGCTTCATATTTGAGGAGAAATGAATAATAGGACACAACGCATTATATTATCAAGGCAGTTACTGTCTGCACGCCAGAGACAAAGACGAAATATGCAGCTACTTTGTGGAGAGGCAGTGGTATATTTTGCTTACATGAATATGAATCAAAATTAAACTACTAATATAAAAAATAAACTACTAATATATTTGCAGAGCTAAAAAATAAGCAAATGTTAAATATTTGCCATTCAAAGTTAGATGAAATTAAGTAGCTTTACTTTTCCCCTATAAATACTTGTGCTATCTCAAGCACAAAGTGCTGTGCTGTTCTTATAATTCATTCTGAAAAGCTGTTTACCTCTAAAATGATCCACTGCTAAATGTTCACATATAAACCATATTTCAAGATCAGGCAATTATAGATATGAATATATTGGTGAACTGCGATATCTTGGTCATTTTTGAAGTGGCCGATGGAAAAGTATCTTTGATTAGATTTTTGTTTGAAGATAAGTTTTGCTACTCTGGTTACTGAGAACTTAGAATTGGGAGTGTAACATTTTACTTCTTTTGAATATCGTTAGCACTATGTCCTACTGATGGTGTTGCAAACCTAAGCTTAGCCATTAGAGAATAACCATGCACATTCACAGGTCTTATCTGTGTTTTCCTTTCTCATCCTGAAAATGAAACTATTTTACAGTTCTATAAAGCCAAGTTCTATCTGTGTTACCATCAGCCACTCTTTATTTGAACAAACCTGTCTCTGTGGCTTTGATTTCCTGTTTGTCTAGGGTACAGAGCATGATAGGATTATCTAACGCTATAATGCTACAGTCAGATTGAAAAGAAAAGCTTGGGGAAAAGAACATGTGAAACTAGCAGCCTGGAGAAAAACAATGAGAAGTAACAAAGCTTCACTGATGAGCATAAGAGCAGCAGAGCAACAGAGAAAAGGAGAGGCTATAAAATAATTAAAACAATGCTAAGTATTCATCTGAAGGGGAAACTGAATAGGATTTTCCCACATAGATTGTCTTAGCTTATTCTATAGTTTTCTATGGAGTTATTCATTGGTTTCATGGACCAAGAAATCCAGATTCTATGAATTTTAGTGTCCTTCAAGCCAGAGCTTCTGAGGGGCAGACATATGCTGGTGGTGGCTGATTTTAGTATTAGCAGACAGGGGAAGAACCGAAGTAAGTACGATGCAAAGGAAATGCTGGGAAATGTAAAACACTGGATTCCCAAACAGGGATTATCCTCCTTGCTAGACAGAGTGTCCAGCAAAGGGATTCAGGTTGGTGCTGAATCCATCATGGAAGGGTTAGGATAATCTGGCGGTCAGGCTGGAAAAGAAATAATTTAGCTAAGTAGAAAAAGCTTGTCATTTACAGTATTGAAATACATTACTCTGGTTTTGGACCATAAAGGAAAAAGATAATGTCAGAAAATAAAATCACTTTTCCCTAATCAGGTGGCTTGATCCAGTACACTGAATATATACAGAAGTTATGACTTTCAATTTAAATATAGAAACATTTGTTTATCTAACGTTAAGTAGAAAATAATACCAAGAAAGCTCTCAGGTCAACTTTCAGATAAATTTTTGTTTTTATCTTCTCAGAGTAAGAACATATTACCCGAAAAGAAGCATAGCCTATCATCACATTTGTTATCTCTAAAATGAATTAAGTTTAAAGACTTACGAGAACATTTGCTTTTCAACCAATTTTAAAAATATATACTATATGCAAATAAGATGTATATACATATACACTATATGTGCAATATACTACCTGAATACAAGTAACCTTTTTTCATCTAGGAGTTTAGGTTGTTTTCATTTTATAACAATCTGAACAGCTGGTCCTTACATGACACTTGCTTTAGTATGCTGGATAATGTATGTTAGGAAGTTATGATTCTGACATAAATTCTAAAATGGAAAATTTAGAAAATCATGTAAGGCTTTAAATGATAAACATTTTCTCATTATTATCTGTATAATTAGATATTATCATACATAATAAGCCTTTACTTAAAGCTATTTTTACAGTTCTACAGATTGAATTCAGGGCCTTGTGCATACTAGGCAAGTACTCTACAACTCCAGCTCTAATATTACTTCTTGAAGTTCTGTTTGAAATTTCAAATAGAATGGTTACTTAAAGTAAACTGGAATTTGTACATGTCAGATGCTCTACTTCTGAATCAGTTTTTCATCAAACCTATGTTTCTACTAAGTCTGTTCTATGATGGTTTTAAATATAAGAAAAAAATAACATGCATTAGCACTGAAGAAATCATTTAAATGTTCTAGCAGATTAATTTTTTTTCTCCTATATCATTGATTTTATTTGTCTACCAGACAGTCCAAAGAGTGAGCAGGAAAAAGAATGTTACATCTTTAGACAATTTTGTTAGTGTTACCTTTCATCATCCTCAACGCTTCTCTTGACTTTAATCTTGTCCTCTCCAGTGCTCAGGTTAAAACTACAAAAATAAATGCACATATTTATTGGCAGCCGCATCTACTGAGTCATCAAGAAAAATGGAAGTGGTAAAAGATGGAGCACAATGGACACCCTCATCTACTATTTCCAAATGTGTGTTCTGAGGTTCTCGGTTCTTTCACAAGGCCAGTCGACTGTTTCTGCTTTCTTTTGAAGACTCAATGCATATCAGTAGGACAAAGATGTGAGAACTTCCTAGAAAGAACTTGCTTCAGTTTGTTGAATAATGTACTTCCTGACCTTGACAACTGACCTCTTTTCTGTTACTACATCACAGAATATAGGGTTGGCCATCATGAAACACACTTTATAAACTATTTCCACTATAAAACTGAGAACAAGGTACAGAGGACAATACGTAGACAATACTATTTGCTGGGGCTTCAGGAGCAAACTTAAATAGAAAAGTGGTATAAGCTAATTTTCAAAAGCAAAGTGGTAAACAGACTGTAGATGTCCTATGGTGTAGAAAAACTGATCTCTAAACTGGAGTACACACAATCTAGCGTGCGCTGTGGACTCATAGTGGTGTGAAAAGAAACCGACAGAACTTGTTTATATTTTGTTAGCCTCTTATTTTTGATACACTAAACATACACTGATTCAGTAATGATAAACACACAGTTTACTTCTGATACATCATGCAAAGACAGTAACATTAAATAGACATTAACTTTTTATCTAAAATAATTCATTCAGTCACTTACCTGATATTAACCACATAAACAGTGTAGTTCCAATTCTGGAAAGTTGAATTGAGCTGAAAACCATAATGGAAAAAAGTGAGATTTTTGATTCCCCAATGTAAGCTTGTCTTTGTGATAAGACTCAAAGGAAATCTTGGAAAACTGGCAAAATGAGAGGTAAAGGTAGCAGATACTGAATCACTGTTTACTAAGAACCTGATAAATGTTGTTATTTCATTTTTTGTTTTTGTTTTTTTTTGGTTTTTCTCAGGTACCGGGAACCGAACTCACGACCTTGCGCTTGCCAGGCAGGCGCTTTGCCGCTGAGCTAAATCCCCAGCCCAAATGTTGTTATTTCAATCTTTATAATAGTCAACAAGACAGGTATTATCCTCCAACTCCACTTTCTTGTTTATGAAGAAACTGGGATCTGCAGCTGTTAAATGGCTTGTTGGTCACCCAATTAGGTAATCTAATGACCTAGCAGAGTACAGAATGGAACCCAAGTTTATCTACTTGGAAATGTTCACATTTTCTCCCTAGCATATAATATAATAAAACTGGCAAAATGAATACCTTCCTTATTCTTCATTTAGTAAATACTGAGGAACAATGAAATATATTTTCTAGTAATTAACCTCATATATTTTTAAGAACAAGCGCAAAATTAGTTCAACATTACTGGACAGATGGTAATTTCACGTGGTTAATTCAACAATTTTTCCAGGTCTCAGTACCAGATTTTTTTAATGAAGAGATGGATTCTTCTTCAATATAAGTAGCAAATCTTCATAATATAGTATCTGTTATAACTGCAAAGCAGGGTTTCTTCACTGATATGAGAGCTTCCTGTTTTTATATCACCTCCAAAGGGTTTTTCGATCTTGGTTTATACCAATGTTTAGCTCTCCTTGTGAGCATTTGCTACAGTTGTGTCTGGGATAGCTCCCAAGCTGACATAGAGATCTCAAGCCTGTGATGCTGCTGGAAAGTGCTGGAAACTCGAAGAGGAAATTAGCTCAATGGGGATGTGACCTTGAGATACTGCAGTCCTGGCCCCTCCTGCCTCTCTCTCTGCTCCCCAGTTGTAGTGTATGTGCTGCCCTAACCAGCATTCTCTCTGCTTCCCAGCTGCTGCGGAGTGAGCAGGCTGCCTCAGCCACACGCCTCTGTTAGGATGAACTAGGCCACCGCAGGCCCAAACGGACAGGGCCAAGTGACCATAGAAGGAAACCTCTAAACTATGAGCTAAAAAAATCGCTCCTCTTTCTCTTTCTCAATTGATTACACTTCGTCACTGCAATGGGAAGCTAACACGGCATTCTGAAAGTTAAATGTAAATTTTAGGAGATGCTGCTAAAAGGGAGGTTAACTTATTTTTAAATTTTGCATAATAACGCAGGTTTAATTTTCCTTGTCTGAAATGCTTGGGACCAGAAGCATTTTAGATTCCAGATTATTTTCTAATTGTGAAATATTATAGTTTACTGGTTGGGCATCCTTCAACTGGAAGTCAAACAGAAAAGGACCATTTCAGATTTCAAATTCACGGATTAGAGATGCCCAACTTTAATATGCACAATCTGTAATATGCAAAAAGACACACCTAAATATTCCCTTTTATCAAGTATCTGCTCGGGGAGCTTGCATCTTAATTGAAAAGTATCCAATGAAGGTTAGCTCCCGATCAGAATAATGCTATGTTGAAGATAGTACAAAAATATAAATGTAAAATTCTATCTTGCCTAGCACAAAATTTCTAGTGATACTAATTTTTAGAATTAATAACATCAGTGACTTGAGAATAAAATTAAAGAATGAGACTTTGACTTTAAAGAACAATGCTGGAAAGAAAATGGCATCAAAAGCGAATTCTTTCTGTGAAGCTTGCTCTCCACTTAAGAATTAAAGAATTAAACATATCTATTAGTGTTTCAATTAGTGTTTCAATTAGTTACCAATGGTAATGTGTCACTTCTTAAAGTTAGTTGTGACCTATTTCCTTAAACTCTATTAAAGAATTTTACCTTCCCCAACAATTTTGTAACAGAATTGTTTAATTACATACTATTGTTTCCAATGGTCAACTTGTTTTTAAAAATATTGCTGTTAAAAAAGATTGTAAAGATTATGTTTTCACATCAGGACACATTTATCAAACATGTACAACAGAAGGAAATTCATATTTTTGTACTGCAGAGTGTATACACTATTGGCTATTCACACAAAAAGCTAATGTTTGAGCTATACTATATACCGTATCTGTTGAGTCTAATATTTTGTATAAAAAAGTACAAAATCTCACAGAATGGAAATCTGCGGAAAATAAAAGTTTTGAGATTGGTGCGAAAAGGAAAAAACTGAAAAACTCCATAGGTTGTATTTTGTAAAGAAAAAACATAAACTGTTAAAAATTTTAAATTAGAAAATATCATGAAGTTCAACAATAGGATACTAGCTAAATAAATCATAAGCTAAATGTCCACTGACAAAAGCTTGTTAAATAAATGCCTCGACGATCAGATAAGGCGACACTCCACACTGCCAAAAGAAGAAAACAAAAAAATAAAGTTCTCCTGTTCTAATATTTCAAATCTGACAACAATAAATTAAGTACAAGGTAGAACTGGAAAATAAAATATATTAGTTTTAATGTAAAAATGAAGGAAAATGAGAATCTATAATTATTTCCCTTCATGTACACAAAATAGTTCAAAACAAGTAATGGTGATTTCCAAGCAGATAGATTTGTCTGCAGACAGATGAGTGCAAGGGTGAGCAGGAGACTTTTTTTTCGGTAGTGGGACTCCAACTCAGGACCTTGCGCTTGCTAGGAAGGTACTTGCCACTGAGCTAGATCCCCAGCCTGAGCAGGAGACTTTCATGAGAAATTTTTCTACTTTCAGTTTTGATCATACATCCAAACAAAAATAAAAAATATCTGTATTTTAAAACATACCTTACAATGTATGAATTTAATAGTAAGAACACCTAGCAAATTCTATTTGTATTTGTGTGACAATTTTCTTATTTAATATATGTCTAGTCTTAGGCTCAGTTTTGTATTCTTTACTCAACTGTACCTCTCTTTTATACACACAATGCCTTGCATATTATGTATCTACACAGATACCATAATGAATAGTTTCTACACCTTAGTATGTAGATTCAATTACCTAGAATCTACAGATTCAATTACCTAGAATCTCTTACAGATTCTAGAAGTGAAAGGTGTAAAATAGCCCAAAAAGCAACTGTAAAAGTTTACTTACCCATTCTGCAACCTTGCTCTGTACTTTGACCTCAGGGTGATGAAGGACATTTTGAATCACTACGGATATTCTATACATAATTCCATCTGTCCATTGGAAATAGGATTAATCCATGAATTACGTTTACACATCAAACAGTAAATTTATAATCACATAATCCCATGCAAGTTAAACGAAACCTTTTACATAAGCACAGAAAATTTCCGGGCTGATTTAATGTTAAAACTTTTGATCTTGGTAACTTTTTAGAAGAAACAGTTATCAATTAGTTTACTTTTATAATTTAATGCTCCTAAAATATCATTTGCACATAACTTTTGGAATATTTGTATGCATCTTCGGATCTTTCAAGTCTATGGATTTCTAGTATGAACTATCCATAAAGTGTAAACTTTTCCATGTGGAATTTGAACCCTTTAAACAAGAAGGTACGCTTTCCTGCACAATATGAAGATGATGAAGACTTTGGGATGGAGTGTCACTGAGTGAGAGAGGGTGGGCAGGGATTACTAGGAACAGTACTGACTTGCTGCTCTCAACCTCTCTTCCTTCCCCTCTTCCCAGCAAAAACATTTACTTCTGCTAAACTGCTGAGTAAGAGTTCACCAGATTTTTTTCATTAAAATTTCTTAAATACGGTCATTTCAAGTAAGGTAGGTAGGAAGAAAAAAAGAATTTTTGAAGGTAAATTTTAACAGGACATTTTGTGAACAGAGGTTCCATCTTATTGGACGAAGCCAAGGCAATCTTTAAAGTAGTTTGCTTTTCTTTCCCCCATGAAAATCACACTCACCAGCAAGGATTTGCTAAGTCTCTCCAGCTGTGTGTTATAAGGCCCTTTACTCAAAGTAGCTAGAGCAGAAAAAATATTCTTAAAATACAGTAGCTTCAAGAGAGAATAAAATGTATTATCTATTATGGGCAATCATCTTTCTTCATGCTGTGTTTAAGTAAGTCAAGTAGATTATGCATAAAGAATATAGAAATATATAATCAAAACAACGTTGAAGAATATATTTAAACAAAATTGTGGGGAAGCAGAGGGGAAAGATACAAAAGCAAGCCTCTGGAAACTCCCAGATGTACTCAAATCCAAATTCCAGTCCCACTACTAAAAGAATGTCTTTCCAGTATAGGAATTAGTCTCATGCCAAATGACTGAAATTGCCGTCTTCAAATATAAGAATACAAATCTGTGAAACTGGTGCAAGTCCAAGGACAAGTGAATTTAATTTATGCCAACTAAGTTATTTCGATTTCTAAATCTCTTCGAGTATGTTAATGATCTTACTTTTACATTCTTTCAAAACATGTCTGAATGAAGAATATTTAAAGGAACATATAAAACAAATGATAATTCAGACTAAAAATCTTTTGCCCTGTGGAGCTCATCAAGTCAAGTCATGGGCATTCTGAATGACAGAGAGGAAGCTCAAATTGCAGAGTTCCAAGAAATCCTAAGGGTCTTAAGGAGCCAGCGTAGGGCTTAAGAATTCTAGGGACATTCTGTGAATTTTCACCAGCGCTAGCAGGCTATCTGAAAACCTACCACTAGATGGAGCCCTAAAGCACAATTTTTATGCAGGAAAAAAATGACAAAATATTAAAAATCAGTATTTTTTAACCACTGGTGTTTCTGAAATTTTATTTAAGACAGTTTATAGATAGATATTTAAGATAATTCCTTTATATTTTAAGTGCTTCTTGCCCTCTTTTTTCAATTTCTTTTTTTTTTTTTTTTTTTTTATAAATGAAAGACATCCAGTATCAGAGCCAAACTTGGGAGCACGCTCTCTAGGATAATACTGCTTATAGCTGATAAAATGTCAATATTCCAAATAACAGGCATTTTCTGTTGCAGAGTCTCCTTGCTATGGGTAATTATGAAACAGTTTTTTCTAAAAGCCTCAGAAGTATATCATATTACATAAACATAGTTAATAAATACTCAGCGAGCCTACTTGTTACGTATTTTAAATTTTTGAATAGTGAGGTCAACAAGCAATCATGAGACACGTCCAAGGGTACACCAACAAAAAAGATAAAATGTCCATTGAGGGGCTGCTGAGAAGGTTTTGGGTTGCAGCAAACTACTTGGCTTAAACATTGCCATTGGAGGAAATGCAGTTATGGCCCATGGATGTAGGCTTTTCCGATAAACCAGAGCAGCAGTCAAGGCTTCTATAGACATAGAAACCACTGTGGGGTCTCAGTATAAACTATGCACAAATCATGACTTCCAGAGACTTGAAGAGATATACGGATTGTCCTTCTGATAATATTCAGGTCAAAAGGACACCTGGTTGTCATGTCTTGAAAAACGTATTTAAGAAGATATCCACTTTCCAATTGAGTAATTCTTCTGAACACATAGAATCTCAAAGTAGAAATCACTGCCTGCTATTACAGATGTGATGTCAAAACAGTTTTCCTTTCTGTAGGTCTCTCCCCAATGAATCTTTTTTAAAAAATTTCTTACCACTCTTTTCAGGTTTCTGGAGGATTTAGATATAACACTATTCTATCTTCAAGGGTGTGAAATATAGGTTTGAAATGATGGGTTTAAAAATACATATTTTGAAAGATATGCTAAAATCCAAGCCGGATGTTACTTTTGGTTTGGGATTACGTCTTTGAATTGGTGACTGGGCAATTATAACATGATGCTCTGCAGCATACCGTATAGACAGTGCTCTGCGGCACCTACACACACAATTTCTCTCAGGTATCTGGCATACATAGCTAGAGTGACTGCTAGATCTATACAAACATCCTGTGAGTGAAATTTGGTACCTGAATAGCTAAACATATGTGAGAAACAAGAAGGAACATTACACCTGGTACCTGCAAACTACATTTTTAGAACAGTAATAAGAACTAACGTCAGTAATTTCTTACTTGGGTTGACTGTGCCAACCTCATAAAAGCTGGCTATCTAGGGGCACTAGGATGTTGTTCAAGCACAGAAGATATTATTTGGAATGAAAATAATAAGTAGCCCAGGAGCTTTCTTGGGAATAATGGAAAAGACACACAAGTTCACTATTCCTGGGAATGGCTAGGTTATCTATATCTTGAAATATCTGTTTGTGAACAACACCCTAAAAGATAAGGCTTTCTTTATATAATTGTAGATATCAGACAAAAGCCTACCGGAGATAACAGAAAGAGTTTTACATGGAAAAACAGTAACATTTCACAGAAGCTGGCAAAATAAATGTCACTGACACAGCGAGGAAATATACCTGATTGTCCAATAATCTCAGTCCTTCCCCTGTCCCTGCACTGACAGATTGTTATTGATGAAATCGTAAAACTCTGACAGTACAGAGCTAAAAGGACTGGATAAGGTGGATGATGGATGTGTCAGCTGTGCTTAACTTTCTCACGGACTCCAAATACAGTTTTATAATATATCTGATTGTAAGCCTGAGAATGTTTACCAAATCAGCTTCCCAAAGAGTAAGAAACTGTTGATAGTATGTAAATGATCTTAGTCCAGGACAGGACATTAAACATCATTTATTCATGAGGAAAAAAGTAACTCGCTTTCCGATTATTTCAAATTTGATTCCATCAAATAAATATTATTTCAGCATAATTCATCTCTGACATTTCTTTTAAAAATGATAACAGAAGCCCTCAGCTCTGAGATTTGAAAAGCTAAGGAAATATACAGGGAATTCAGAAACAGTATTTATATTATACTTATTTGTACAGTATATCCTTTTCACTTCTGTTTTACACGTAAAAAATTCATTTTATAATAAAGAACTTAATTTCCCTATGTAAAAACCCATGTTTGAATAAAACTGTGAGTCAATTTAGGAAAAAATGAAGTAAAAAGAATAGGTGATTCAAGGATATGGTACAAATTATGCACAAATTTGAGCGCATAATTATGTGTCTATTTCTACCACAAGACTTTTGAATATTTTTAAATGCTAAGATTATATTTTGATCAAAAATCATCTGAATTAGATTCTTTTTCACTAATGTGTCAAGACAGACCATTTGACCTGATTCTAACATTTGCTTGCTTCGTTGAAACTCCAATGAAGGTCATGACGCAGAAAGAGATGGACTGAACAAGGCTCTCTTCAAGAATGCTAGAAATTACACGATTGAGTGAGTACAGCCCTGCTCCACCAAGTGGGAGACTCTGCAGCACCATATAAATGTTCTTGGGCAGTAGAGGATGTGCCAGTCCTGGAGGGAGAACACCACAGAGGCTCTTTGTATGTTCATACAAAGAGTGAAATACTTAGTTAGAATTATAATATTCCCATCTGCTGGCAGGAGTCCATGTGAAATATGCACTGGAAACTTCAGCTGCTGCTGCTTTCTTGGGAGTTGTTGGAATTTTTGTTCCATCATAAATCTCCCTGGTGTAACTAGCAGAATAACCATAAACACTTCCCTGAATCAATGGCTTTATAAGCCTAATGAAACTTATATTTATGTTTCATGTAAAATATTCCATACTTCCAATTTGAATGTCCTTACAGAGGAAGTTGATGTAACCCTTGAAGCTAAAAGAAAAAATGAACTATGTGGGTTTTTCTTCTCTGGGTTTTGGGTCCCTAGTGATATATTACAGATGTCTTGGCCTCATAAGCTAAAAGACTGGGTTTAGAAAATGCCTTTGTTTCCACTATCTCATATTTGAGAATATTACTGTATTCGAGCAACAGTGCAGTCACCTGATTGGAATTTCTCTCTATCACTACCTAAAATCACTAATTCTAGATTTTCAAAAGATTGTATACATAATTCATATGGGTAGCAGACTAAATAAGAACTCCATTCACTTGGTTTTTCTCTGCTCATTTCCTAAGTTTATATAACTGTTCTTGCAAATTATTACTAATATTAATGAAAAAATATGTATAGAGAAAAAGAAAAATGTATTAGAAGTTACTTGAATTTTATCATGCCAAAATTAACTAGGCCTGGGAGTACGGCTCAGTGGTAGGACATTTGTCTAGGATAGTCAGATACCAGTATCCCCTCCAAAAAGATTTAACTGATAATATTCTAACCATTATTCTTCAATAAAAATAAACCATTGAAATTGACTTAAGTGTCATGAACATTTCAACATAAACTCAACATCCATGAGAAATTAAACTACCAAACTTAGTTTTTTAAAATTGTAAAATCCTCTTAGAAACCAGTTTCCTGAAGAGAATAATCTGACAATATATAATATACTGTGGAAAGAATAGGGTTTCTTTATCAGTTCTCTATTATAATGGAAATTAATTCCTTTGAAGTAAATGTCTTTCTCTCAAAACTTCCTTTGCAAGACTTTTTTTTAGCTAGAAGTGCAGAACAGGAATATGAGAAACATACTCATTCCTTCGGCCACTACAACTGGGAACATGCGGCCTTAACTTACGAGCTTTGCAAAAGTTCAAATGCAACAGTTACCTCCAACAACAGAAACACTGTCGGAACATTAGATATTTCCACCCTTAGAATACAGTTTTGTATTACATTAGACATACAACAGATAAAAAAGGTAATGATTTCTTACCATTCTTTTGTTTATCGATTCTATTAGTAACAGGCATGTTAGTGGTGACAGTGGGTGGTGTAGTACTAGAAGAGTTTACAGTTGCTGGTAATAAAGATGAGAAAGATGTAATTTTGCAAGGAGCATACGACAGTTAATATGGAAAAGCAATTTATAATTAATGCACGGAACTACACAGAGGAGGAATGGAAACCATGTCTTGCCACGAATTACAACAGACTCTGAGGTTATAATGTGAAATAAGAAGTAGTGCTTCCTATGGCACATTGAGAATCGATTCCCATGGGCACTGGTGCCAAACAGCACGAGGATCTGGAACTGGCACAAAGTGATCGAAGAAAGGCTACTTCGATTCTAAACCTAACTCTGTCACTGGAAAGCTGCTAATCAAGCAGAAAATGACTAAACCTTGGCAGAACTCATTCCTCTGTGTTTGGAAAAAGAAAAACTTAAAGAAGGCTGTCTGAATATAGATGTAAACCTTGAAAATTATCTAAACTAAGTCAGTCTGCTTGATCCACTAAAATTAGAGAAATGAAGTCTCAGAAGAAAATGTACCTCTCCCTGAGAACATAAATGTAAGGAAAAACCAAGAAAATGAATGTATACATGATGTCAATCATTTAAAGATCCCAATAATTTCGCTAGACTTTAATGGATAAAAAGTATTTCACAAGGGCAACCATTATAGGGGAGATATTTTCAAAGTGTTAAGTCATAGCTATGCTTCCGATACTTCAAAAATTCTCAAAGATCAAACCCTTATGTAAATTTTTTATAATTCTTTCTGAAGGATTAGAGGATCTATGTAAACAGTAAAAAAGCTGAGGGGCTGGGGATATAGCTCAGTGGCATAAGTGCCTGCCTGTCAAGCACAAGGTCGTGAGTTCGATCCCCAGTACCGCAAAAAAAAAAAAAAAAAGCTGCACAGATATTTTTCTTTATGAAAATATTTATATTAGATGCATATTCATATATATAATTATGATCTCTTGTTCCTTTTCTTGAATTAAACAATACACGAGTGATTACACAAAAATTATCTTTAAAAGGCTCTACAGCACTTAAAATATTGAATTTCTGGTTGTAAAATGTACAGTCATTGATAAATGTACATTCATTGATAATTTTATATTGCAAAGCATATATTACACTTAAAAATGGAAATTGTTTTTGGACCCTTTTTTGAAAATTATGAACAATCGATGTTTATCTCTAATGCAAAATATGGGCTGGGGATTTAGCTCAGCGGCACAGCGCCTGCCTGGCAAGCGCAAGGTCATGAGTTCAGTTCCCGGTACCGGAGAAAAACCAAAAAAAAAAAAAAAAAAAAAAAAATCTCAAAATAATCTAATGCAAAATACATCATAAATTTTAATCATATATGACATAAAGGAATAAACAAAGAAAAAGCTGAGTAGCTGGTCCTTTGACTCAAAGAATACATACTATAAGTATCTCAGATTAAAAGAACTTTGAAAAGTTAAAAAATGTTTTTAAAAGGCCTTCGGATCTTGAAGGAAACACAATTAAGCTTTTCTGGTCTGCTTTATATAAGTACTTTAAACCACTAAGTTCATGTAAAGAAACTACATAATTTCAGTAAGGTATTAACTGATAATAATACCTGAGAAATGTCTGAGGAAAACAAACATAATGAGATTCCCCTTCCCCTTCATGCCCTACTCCAACACTCAAACTGTAGAAAAAAGGATATAAGTTTCTATTTGTTTAACCTCTCTTCTAACCCCATCCCCTCTGTGCCATGATCCTCTAAGAGATCCAGCTTTTATGAAAGGTATGGTCATGATTCTCATGTGGCACACAGGATGTGCTACTTCAAATAGAAGTATTTACTAGAATAAATGGATGAAAAAGCACTACAGGTAATTAGGAGATGCAATGATAAAACTGAAGCAACATATTTATATTGTTATTTTAAAACTTGTATGACTATGGACTATTTAGCATGCAACCATTTAGTAAATAAAATACAAGAATACTGGCCATGATATAGTTATTAAGTATAATAATTCACACAGTTATATAACATTATTTTAGTAGAACCATTTTATCTTAAGAGTCGTTATACATAGATATACATTTATGATATTGAGTTATCATAAACTGTCTCGTGGCCTTGTGTTAAACTTAAACAAATGTTTTAAATTTAAGTTATTTTCCTCTTGTTTATAGGCAAGAGCAATTCTTCACAATATTGGAACTTTGCAATATTCTTGAGAAGAAACAGAGGGGGAAATGAAACAAACCGTTGTTTGATAACATATAATCATTCACATTTTCAAAAACTCAGTGCTTTATGGAAATGCAGTCACCCAGCACGTGAATGCTTTCTTTCTCTATGCTGCATGCACTGTGCACCCACACAATTAAAAGAAATCCAGAATTCCTCTGTTTTGCTGGTTTTTTACTTTCCAAGTGAAAATTAAGATAAACATCAAAGCACTGACAACCACACTGCTCAAAACAGCACGAAGGAAGCAGAGAGACTGCAGAAAACGTTGGCTGCCTACCTTGGCAGAGGGTCCCCAGTTCTGCGCAGTTAGCTAGTTCTGCTCCCGGAAGCGGGACCAGGTAGGAACCTTGATCAACACAAAAGGAAGATACAAGTTTGACTTATGATCTGCTGACAACATCCAAAAAATAAACATCATCAATCACACGGCTGCTGGAGCAGGAACAGCCCCAGAGGAGGCCACCAATCATATTCAACATCAACGAAGTCTCTCAGGATTACTTAACCTCGAGTGTGAAATCAAGATATACTTAAACTGCCCTCAAAGTCTGGAACTGACTGTATCAGACGTCCACACATGAAATGAAAACAAGTGCCCCTGTCCCTTAAAGTTTGTGTAAAACGTGCATAGCTCTTTGGCATAATTCATCAAATGGCTCTGATGGAAATTCATACAAATGAAATAATATAGACATCTAAGAGAAGTTTCAAAGTACACTCGGACACTAAGGACCACTCACGGAATGCTTATTTTAGGTGCACAGACACCAGCACAGTTCTGCTTTTTTCCAGTTCCAGAAATATGTTCTGTGACTTCGAGTCAGTCTTGTGTCTTTTTTATTTCAAATTTTCACTTGAAATTAAAAAAAAAAAACCTTTCCTCAGAAGGAAATCGATTTCAGAATTTTCTAGTAGTACGTTTTCTCTGTTACAGTAAATCTTTCAGTTAAGACTTTCACCAGCAAGTTGAGGCCAATACGGACTAAACTTACTACAAAGCATATTGAATTTTATAAAAACACAAGGAAAGTACAAATATATACAAAATGTATGTGCGTTTACACGCAGATATAAAGATATAAATACATACATAAAATATTATATGTTTAACATTTAAAGGACATTTATATGACAGTGATTTCATTCTAATGTTTAAACATGCCCCCAATTTTCCCATGGGAAAAGCCAGGCAGGTGCATGAGCTCACAAAAGACGTCTAATTAGGTAAATGGTCTACATAAGGAGACAACATCCAACAGTTAAACAGGCATCTCAAGAGAGTTCGTTTCTACATTCCTGATTGCCTCAGGCACCAGACTTTTGCATGTTAACGCAACCAGTGTTGACTCATTACCTAGGACACATGATACAGACCAGAACAATACCTCATGCAATGTCACTGTTTTCAGAGAGACGTGAGCGTAAGCCAGCTTCACAACTGTAAGTGTAAGGAAAGTACTTGGATGTGGTAGTCATCCAAGAGAGGATGTCACAGCAACTTACTAAGAATGAGTTGGAAAACCATTACAAAGGAGACCCATGAGGCATATGAGATTTTAAGAGATCTGAGGCTACCAGAAGGAATTTCTGAAACTTGTACTCAGGGGCACTAACAAGGTTTGGCAATGCATGTAACTTGACACTGGAAAAGATAACGATGATCAGGTATGTAAGTCATCAGCAGCTTGTCGAGGGCTTTATAGTGTGTAAACACCATGAGCATTGGGACCCTGTGTTGTTTTCCCAATGAACAATCCCAGACCCCGTAGGCATGTACTCAGGCTTTGCTGAGTAAGTTAACAAATGCATTACTAATGGCTACTGACATTTAAAACTCTTTCTTCAAGGCAATGGGAAAAACAAAAGGGGCTAGGTGAGAAAATTAGATTTATATTTGCAAACAATCATTTTTGAGGTTCTATAATCAAAAGAAGGAGGTATAAGAAAGCAGGAGTAGTTTTTTTTCAGGTTTTATTGGTTTTACAACATGAATACAATGAGGATGGACAGGATGAGGCAGATACAAGAAATGTGAGAAAAGGAATTATATGACATAACTACTTAAAGGGAAAAAAATGGTAGAGATATTGGCATATAATGATCTCATAAAAGGTTACAGGAAATTAGGGGTGTAAACTTACGTAAAAGAGATAAAGTCTGGTAATAAAAACAGGTGCCTGGGGGCTAAGGAATTAGCTCAGGGCACAGCGCCTGCCTGGCAAGCGCAAGGTCGTGAGTTTGATTCTCAGTACCGGAAAACAAAAAACAAAAAACAAAACAAACAAACAAACAAAAAAAAAACCAGGTGCCTGTGTGCCATCTAGATACACGGGAAGTTTTATCTGTTTTGTAAAAAGTCTGCCCCAGAAATACCAAACACAGGCTACTGATGTGTTTGGGATCGCAGAGCCTGAGCCCTGATTTTAGAACAGAGTACAGTCACAGATGGTCCTATGTCTAAGTATTAGAAGTATAGATTTCAGCAAGTAGCAAAAGCTGTTGTAGAAGTAGAGTTCACAGAAATAAGCCGAAGAAAGTTTAACACAGAGTGTGGGAATATTAAGTATACCGGAAAAGTTAAGAGGGATAAAGATTGAGAAGATCTTTAAATTTGCATTGGATTAAATTTTTTTTTATTAGTACATGTCTGGAGTACATGACGCCGACACTTATTGTAGGGAATGGATACACGTCTGTAACACAACTTCATTCCTTGTACTCCTTTCCCCTCCTTACCCTCTTCCTTCACTTTATATCTAGAGCCCCTTCCCCGCTTTCATTATTATTATCATTGTTGTGGTTCATGCTTGTGACGCATAAAGATTAAGTTTATTGTGGATAGCTGACACACGTACATGTCACATCTTAAGTCTTCATAGCTGTTGTTCTCCTTCCTGCTCCCTCAACCCTCAGTCTCTTGGTTCCCCTTCCATCTGTGAAAAAATCCCTCTGTTTCCTTGATCAGTCTTACATTGTGCTCTGTGTTTGTACTTTGGATTAACCAAGTGAGAGAAACCAAATGGTATTTAAGCTCGTGTGCCTGATTTATTTTACTTACCACTGTGTTTTCACAGTGGATACACTTTAAATGCACTGGAATTTTGATACAGCACCACAGAAATTAGTTTCAGTTGCGTGGGAATGAAGAAACCTAGACTGCCAGCGTTTGAGGAGTGAAAGCAAGAAGAGGAAGCCTGGCTGTGTAAGGAAGCGGAGATAGGAAGGGGGGTTTTAAAGACTGAAAACTTAAGCCAGTGTACTCTGGAAGAAGAGCCTCTGTAGAGGCAGAAGTTGAGAGAGGATACAGGTGGATTTTTATTCTGAATGCTGTCTGTCCTTTACTCCTTCCCATCCAAGGCAGACCCACATCTGCAGGACCTGCGTTCTTCTATAAGTGCTTCTGTTTAGAGGCTGCTGAAAATTAACGAGCATTTAAGCCTCAGGGACCAGTGAAATCTCAGCCACTGTAGCATGCAACAGAGGAGACCCTGGGACAGGGTTCCTGTTGTTCTTAAGTTACACACAATGTTGGCAGTCATAGGCTCCGGGCCTCCACTTCGGAAAGTGATACAGTATCACTGGAAGACAAAGAGAGATACGGGGACAATAATGTGGGAAATAAGCCCTTGGATAACTATATTTGCACTACAGTTGAGTAGGTTAAAGAGCTGAGATGTAAAAATAAGGAAAGAAAATCAGAAGAGCTATGAGTTAGAGCAAGATGTTTAACAACTTTCTTGAACATTTTTATCAGTTTTATTATGGAGTATCAAGCATAAATTTCAGTATACAGCATGCCTTCCTGGGAAATTGCAACTTGTTTCTCAATATTTTAATGAGTTGTACTTTCTGGGAAATTTCTAGTTTAGCATATGGATACTTCTTTAAAAATAATAAACACTATGACGATCCAATAGAACCATTTCAAGTAGAGGATTATTTTAGTGAAAATGTTATAAAAACAAGTGACAAATTTAACTGGAAGTAAAATTGATAACTGAAATCTTATATTACAAATACACCAAACTATGTAAATAAATACATGAAATGTAAAAACAATAAACAGCCAGGTGTGGTGGTGCATACCTGTAGTCTCAGCTATTCAGGAGGGCGGGCCCTGAGAAATACTTAAACCCAGGAATCCGAAGCTTTCCTGGACAGCCCACTAAGACTTATGCCCCTTCAAAAAAAAGGTGTATACTGCACTTATGCAATCTTTTTATTTCTTCCCAGTTCCATTTTCAGCATAATTGTATAAGAAAGACAGTGTCACAACTGATTTTGCTAGGTTGACTGATTTATAAATGTGGACAACAGGGGAGAAGAGATAATTCTCCCTCTAGGATAGTAATATATTTACCTCCAACTGTTTTTAGAATGTGATCTGTGAATGTTCCCTGATTTTTGAGGCTACCTGAAGATGTTTAAAGATATTTAGTTAATGGCAAAATTTAGACTCAAATTTTCTTTAAAAAAATGTAATCCCTGAAAATGGGCAATAGATGAAAAAACTATAACCTTCTAATCTTTTTTCTCTATCTTTTGTTATTCTTCCCAAGTCATGCTACTGAAATGAGTCACTAGATATTTACACAAGTTGTGGTAAAACAACTTGAGAAGCCAAGAGCTATTCTCACACCCTCCCCTTATAATCCAAATAGTAGAGTAAATCCTGACAGTAAGCTGCACTAAGCAAAAATTGTTTTTAAAAATCTTCAAATTTTTCTTTGCAGTTGTTATTAAAACAAATTTTATAGCTTTTCATAAATAAATACATTTGAAATACAATTATTTCTGGAAATGTACTCTCAAAAAGTTTGAATATTCTCAAAGAAAGTTTTTACCTTAATTTTATTTAAATATGACTTAGTGGTCTAAAAATGCTAAATTCAATAATTTGCTAGAGATAGAAGGATTAAGCCAACAGTGAATTAGAATTTTAAAACTGTGATAGCCAGAACTGTAACAATTATTAAATGGTAGTAATCCAAAAGCTGATGAATACTTAGCAACTAGGTAGAACATTATGGTGATAAAAACACAAGTCTGTAAAAATTGAGACATTCCCGGAAAAGAATGACAATAAATGTGGGTACTTATGATTTGTGTCTTATCTCTACATCCACAATGACTAATAGATGGAAGTGCTTAAATTATGCTTATTACATAAATACAATTTGTTTGAACTTGGACTATTCATTGAGTTATACGGTACCACTCCTCAGGAAAGAGCAGTAATCAGTAAAATAAATAAAACTTCTAGAGAAAGCACTGTCTGTTCTTTGGGAAAACTGATGGACATTAGCCAGTATCTGAACTTGAATTATAACTCAGGCAAATACTTGA